TTTACTCAACAATTGAGCGTTGCATCGTCCTAACAATAGCAAAGAGTCATTAAATCTCTGACATTGGTGATAAGTTGGCTCGATAATTCTTTGCAAAGTTAAAAAATAATTCTACTCACCTTTTTTTATTTATCATTAAAAAAAAATTTTTTTTAATTATTTATTTACAATTAGAAAACTTAAAAAATTGTTTTTTTTTTTTTTTTTAAATAATTTTTTAAATAAAAAAAATGGGTCTGGGCTGACTATTTGCTTATATTGTATTGATATTAACCTCATCAGATTTCAACAATATTAAAAATGAATATCTGTCCGTACGTATAATTGCACGTACGTACGTAGTACATAACTCTATTTTTACACCTTCTAATATACTTTGAGATGTTTCAAACCGTACAGTTATGATAATAACTGATAATAAATTACAAATTTTAAAAATCAACCTTATTACAATAACTTCCTAATGGAAAGTTAAAAGTACAATAAAATTAAAGTGAATTAAAGAATGACTTCATTAAAAAATTATTTGAATTTTTTTCTGACGTTAAATTTCAAAGACTAGAACTTTCTGCAAGTACAATACCTTCTTTTGCAAATAAAAAGGTAATATATACAGCCTAAAAAAAAAAAAAAATATCTGGTTTCCTATATAAAAAATACATTCACCAAAGTACGTTTGAATTCGTGCATTCCACATCGTCTTCCTTACAATACATCCGCGTTGCATTTCACACGGAAAAAAACTTGGATGGTTTCAGTTCTCATGAACATAATAATATGTATATAATGTCTGTATATATACAGTGTATATAAATACGGTAGGAAAAATTTTAACGGACACGCTGAGCGACAGGAAGCATGCGTGGGCAAATTTGGGTGGTCTGTGATACATTGAAAAATAAACCTTCATGTATTAAATATTTTTGTAAGTCGATACAAAAATGTGTTCAACATAAGTACATAGTCAAAACATTGGAAAAAAGGGTAAATAAAGTTTAACTTGAGGTTAACATTTTCCTTAAACCAAAATTAATCATAACACCATTCATTTAGGGTTAATCAAGTAAACAAACTTCTTCAAAGTAAAAAATTATTTTTTTACATCTATTTTTGGGTTGTTTAAATCTAATAAAATTATCTTTAATAGCTAATGTTTAATTTTGATATAAAAAAAGTCTATACACTCTTTAATAATAAATAAATTAATTTTTAAAACTTTAATCGATTGATAAAAAAAAATAAAATCAAAGTATTAATTAATTACCAATAATTTTATAAAACATTTATATTTAATTAAATAATAAAAAAATTTTTTTAAGAGTATTATTGACAAAGATAATTGATTAAATTAGCGTGAAATATAATCATCAACATAAATGAGTTGATCAAAAGTGTAAATAAAGATTCTGTTGTTAATTAATCAAAGACAGATTCACTAAAAAAAGTAAACTTATAAGGTTGATTTTAATTACCATAAAATTGATTACAAATGAACTCTCAATTATTTTAAAACCAAATCAGAATTCAAAGATAGCTGTTAATATTTATAATGTGGTCGATACTTCTTTATTCATTTTAAAATTAATTCTACAAGAAGTCCCAATTAATCCCAACTCATTGTATTTATTTGAAATTTAAATAAAAAATTTTAAAATCACCGGAAAGTATTTTTTTTTTACCATGATCAATAATAAAATAAATAATTCTGCGAAAAATATATATGATGACCGTAACGAAGTAACTCTACTGAACTTAATCAATTTTGTTAGATTTGTATTATTTTCCATTTGTAAAATCCCAGGGGTCCCTTAAACGAAAATTCATGGACTCCAACTTTTCTTATTCTGACAGCCAAGTATTGAGACTTATTGCATAGAAACCTTGCACCCATGGGAATCCCTTTGCAACTGGAACTAACACAGAAGTCAGAATTTGAGTTAAATTTTGCTGCTTATCTATCTTTTAATATTCTTCCCTTAAGAAGAAAAGTAACAGAAAATTCCTTTGGCATAGGAATGATACAATAAATGAGAAAGAACGAGGAAGTGTAAGAGAATGAGAAGAAGCAAAATATACAGATATTGTATTGAAAACTTTCGTAAGGCGATAAAAATAAGTCGAATAACGAGAACATTTCAAACAATGTTTGAAACAATTTCTCTTATAATTTACCGAGTTGTAAAATTTTTCAATTCAACTTTTTTTTTCTCATGCTCGAAGAAACTGAAAAGATGTCTTTAACTTAGAAAAAAAATGACTTTGGAGTTATTGCAGTTAAATCTAGCCTTCAAGCAACAAGGATTTGAGTTAATAAAATCTTGAAAAAAAAAAAAAAATCTTGAATTACTTTACGTCCTGACGAAGAACTTAAATAATTGATTTAATTACAATAATTTTCTAATGGGAAATTAAAAAGAATTATTATTTTCCATTGAAAATTGACTAACTTTAAATTAAATTCATGTATCTCAATTAAAATGAATATAAATGTACCATGAAAATATTTTTTTAAACGAATTAATTATAATAAATCACTGTTAGAAAGCTTCTCAATCATAAACTTTTTGTACGAAATTTTTAACTCTTTTATTATTATTATTTTTAACTCGATAAATTTCTTTGTAACTAATACTTCTTTATCATAATATAATAATAAATTGTAATTAACCGTAAGATAATTGAAATAATTACCTACTTTTACATCTTGAAAAATCCCTTTGAATGAATAATTCTATTCATCGGATTTAAAATAAAGAAAAATATATAAATTGACGAAAATAATCCAACTTTTTCCATTTATACCACCTTCTTCTTCTGTCGGTAATATCAAAGAAATTCTCAAAAAAATACATCTTGAATAAAGAAAACATTGCGTTTGTTTTTCTGTCGACTATTTTCTTCCCTTAGGTGCTCCAGAGCTTCTATTCCTCAATGTGATGTCTAGGTTCCTGTGTATATATATATGTATATATCTACAATACTACTGTGCTTTATACATCGCGGTAAAGTAAAGACTTACAATGGCCAAGCGCGATATGTCTCAGCAAGATATCTTTACTAAAGGAAACCGAGTAAATGCTCGTCGTTGAAACATTTCTCTTAATTTTTCTTTCTTTCATTTTCCACGTCTCCACTCTATTCTTTCTTTCATTATTTTTAGCCTTCTTTTTACATTTTTTCCTTCATCCCTTCATCGCTAGTCTATAGGCGTATACGCTTCACAAGGCTTTTAATCAACATCCACGCACTGCAACCTACACACATCTAAATCAGCTTTTTTATACACCAAGAGTTAATCCTCTTTTTTCTTGTTCCAGTGTCAATATCATCTCGTTATCTCTAACCCTTCATGCGTTTTGTATTTTATTTGCTTGTTTTTTTTGTTTTCATCTGCTTTATCGAACAATCCAATTTTTCATGACAATACCTAGATAAGCGTAAATAAAATTGATTGATCAATTGAAAAAGCGTGAAAACTTATCAGTAATAACACATTTGACTTTTTAAAATGCTCTTGTTAGTACTTTTCTACTTGATAAAAAAATCAAAAGAATCATTAAATCATTTGGTTAATTGTTAAGTTAAAATTCCCAATTATTAAGTCTACTCGAATTATCTAGATAAAATCCAATTTTAACTAAAATTATCTAAAAATACTTTGTATCCTTTGTTGTCACTAAAAACAAGTTACGAAGCTAAACTGGTTAATATTCTAATTCATTTTGCCACTTCCTAAGTAGGACATGATTGGTCCCATGATTGGGTCAGAACTGAATGATAGGACCCCCAATGCTGGCCCAATTGTGGCCATATGTACATTGCACAGCAAACTAATTTTTACTCAATCGTCAACAGCTTCATTTTGCATAGTAATTAATTAAATTAAAATCATTTGCATGATTAAAATATTGTTGTTCAATAAAAGAAAAATATACTGACGTAATGATTTTCCATTCTTAGAAGAAGCTTTTTGAGCTGAATTTTTTATTTTCCGTTCAATGTTTAATGAACAAAGTGGTTTATTCGTTAGTTCCATTAGGGAATTATTCTCGGAAAAATAGGGTAAATTTCATTAAGATAAATTGAATTAAATTTTCAAAAATAAATCTGGACTTAATACATTGATAATCGTATTGATTAAAAAAATTCCAATACCCTCTAAAAAAAAAAAATGGAAGCTTAATTAGATTTAAAGTACTAATTTTTCCATTAATATTATAACAAAAGTAATTTAATTAATATTTTATTAAATTTTAAATGGACCAACTAAATATAAAAACAACAAATTGATAAAAATTTTTTGATTAATTTTCAAATAAAAAATATTTTAAAATCATAATAAATGTTATTACCGTTAGTATTACATATAAGTACAAACAGTATTCAATTATTTAGACATTATGATTGATTATAATAAATCATAATTATCCTTAACAACAGTTTTTCCTGTTATTATAAAAGAAACAGGAAGTAACAAGTATTACAAAGAAAAATGTTCATATAATAAGTTGAATATTATGACAATAGTTCTTGTTTTTTAAAAAAATATCAAACTGATTTACAAAAAAAAAAAGAAAAAAAAGAAAAATGATAAAAACATTTTTAACTTTAATGAATAAAAAAAAATTTTATTTGATAAGTGATAAAAATTTTTAAACGCAGATATTATTTTTAAAAAAAATCTATTTATAACACAAGATAGTATCAAGACTTTCCTGAATTTTCCGTGAATTCAATTACAATCAGATGCAATGTCGACGGTAGTGATTCAATTTTATTGTTTGCAAGCAATTAATCCATAAATAAAGGAAGCGATTTATGAGTCTGTTACGATCATCTTTATATGATTATCATGAAAAATTTTTATTGTCTGTTTAAATTAGTTTTAAATTACACGTTCTATCATCTATGTATCTATATATATATATATATATTTTTTTTTACTGATATTTTAACATTGATTACAATGCTTAAAAATATCTCGTAGCTCGAGACTATATAAATAGTGGATTTTTCACCATCTCTGTTAGTTACAATTCCAAGTGCATAGAATCATATTAAATTTTTTTTTACATCAAGATGCGGTTCGTTATTTTTGCTGCGATTGTTTGTTTTTGCGTCGTAGGAGTAAGTATTTAATTTCAAATCACTTTTAAAGTAATAAACATAAATAGAATGATTATGAATTATTATGTCAATATTTGTTTAAAGCCAATTATTTTAAATAAATATAAATAATACTCTATATATTAATCTCAAAATGGTTCATAGTTATAATTAATATTCAATATTATTTTTAAACTCTAGACATATTTAGAATTTAATGGTTTTATTTAAAGAAAATTTATTTCAGTTGTTAACACAAATTTTTATATAAAAATAAAATATTCTTGGGTGAAAAAGAAAGGAATAAAGAATGATGAGGGCAAAGTGGAGCATTTCAAAAAATTAATTAATTAATTTTTCAATTTATTAATACATAAAAAATCATTAATATTTGTTAATTTAGTGATTAATTTATCAATATTCACTTTTCCTCTGCATTATAACTTTATCCTTTCCTCCTTTAATATTTTATTAATTATAAAATTAAAAAATTGTTGAAAAAATATCTGTCTTATGTTTAATTATTTATTTTTATCAATTAATGCATAATAAGATGAGGCTCTAAAATAATAGCTACTAAGCTATCAATAATAGTTTTCTGTATTATAAAAAAATTTTTTTTGAGCAATCTCCATTTGGATTTTTAATTTTAAATTAATACAAAATAAATAAATAAAATAAAATAATTGATAAATTAAATTTTATTCCATTAATTTAGGCATTGGCAAAGCATGCTAAATTCGAAGCACTATTAGAAACATGTACAGAAAAGCTAAAAGCTGATCCTGAAGCTGTGAAAGCACTATATGAGACGGGTGCAACAGATGATGCTCAGACAAAATGTGTATTGGCTTGTACTATGCAAGAAGATGGATCAGTAAGTACTATTTTTTTACCTACAAATCATATTATCTAAATAGCACAACCCACTGGTCATAGTCAGGCAGAGTATTTCATGCTTGTCTTATTAAGATTATCCAGTAGATTTAGAACTGACAACTTGCCTGAGGTGTTCATTCCGATAAACAGCATTTAATCTATTAAATAATCTTTTAACAAAAATTTGCAAAATAGTCTTTTTATTTTATATGTATATATAGATACATATTTTTGTTGATCTAAACATGTTATTTATCATAACTGTATAGATGAATGAGGCTGGTGAAGTAAATAAAGAAAAAATTTTGGACATGTCTGATGATGTTTCTGATGAGATAAAAGGCAGATATACGAAAGTTATTAATGAATGTGTTGATGAACGTAAGTATATATTAAACAAAATTAAAGCTACTACACGGATATACTACGCGATATGAATGGTGTCTTATTTTGGTATAAATTAATTTTTAATTAAAATAAAATGCTTACTTATACAGGTGATGACAATGAGTGTCAAACTGCTTATAAAATCTTTGCCTGCGTCCACATGAAATTGGTAATGTTATCTTATTATTTTATTTATTTCATAAAAACAACTAATTTTTATCTAAATTTTTTAATTGCAGAAACAAGAGGAAGAATAAGTTGAATAAATACAACTTGGACGAATTCACCAATATTTTTATCTACTACCAAACTTAAATCAATACTAGAATGATATAAAATTTGATATTGTGCACTAAAATTATCAACACCTTTGTATATAACCTGACAACAATATGTCTCTTGTATAATATTTTCTATAGGCAAATATATAAATAACCTCAAACAAATTACCTCCAACATTCAGAGTTGAAATATTTTTACCTTCAAACTTGAACGATATCTTAAAAGTCGTTCAATTAGTTGGAATCACTAGCAAGTTAATTAACAAGTCTCAGAGTAATTAACTCCTGATAATTTTTTTACCAAAGTTAATTTATTTTATTTCAAATTATTCTCAACTCATGCAAAATATCATCATTTTTTCATCCAAAAAGATGGGAATTTTTTCGAGTTAAAATTAAGAGCGAAAGAAAAAAAAAGAAATGGTCAAAGTACACAAAGATTAAGTAAATAAATGAAATTGATCAATTAAAATCAGGACTATAGTTGATACAGAGGCAATAAAAAATTACTGAAGCGAACAAAGTAATTATAGAGTTTGTATCCCGACAAGCATTCAATTTGTTCTGGATCTAAAATGGCCAGTTAATCCAGGATAGAAGATCACGTATTATACCTGGGATGCACGCGAAGCCTTGAAACACATACATATACAGAGAAAGATAGAGGACATTCTTCACCATACGATCAAGTCTCTCGTCTCTCTTTTGCTCTCTTTATCTCACCAAATAGAGAATACTACTTAGAAGCTTAACCCAACGAGAGTTTCTAAAGCCCAATTGCTCGAGCTAGCGAGAAAATACCAGGGAGTTTATAAGCTCGTGTTTCGGTGAGCAAACTCAATTTAGTCGTTCGTGAAATTCTGCGATATATGTACTTAAATGCATAATAAGGAGGGAAATTTACGCTACATTGCATATCAGATTAGAGGAAGAATTTTTTCGTAGCTCTAGATACAGATATTTTTTTTTTTGTTAAAAAAAATTCCTTTACGAGTATTTAGATAAATCACGTGTCTTTAAAATGTTACCAAGGATTTTCTTGTGACATGTCACAGGCTTTTTCTATCACTACTTCACTCCCATATAATTTTGTTTTTTTTTTTTTCGCCCTTCGCAAACCGTCTCTACTGCGTTGATACTAAAAATACGTTCCATCATCAATCACATAACACACTACGACACCACCCCATTTATATACTTAAATAAATACCCAAGTCAAACGGACACATTAGTTAGAAACAATTTGTCGTTTCTTTGAGTTATAGAAAGCACATTAAAATTTCTTTAATTTGTTAGAAAAGATAAATATCTGCAGTTTTATTTATAACTGGTAAAGAAACCGTAATTTTTTAATAAATGAAAGAAAAGATTAATTATTTAGCAGAAGTTAGGATGAAATAGGACTTTTAAAATTTTTTGTTAATTTATTAAGGTACATAAAGAGAATTTTTGCATTAACAGGAAGTAAAAAATGACAAGTGCAAATATTTAATATTGAATTCTTGAAAAAAAGAATGGAACTTAAATTTTTGCATAATACTGTTAAAATTATTGAACTGGACACAAGAATTTCCGAAACATTGAAAAATGATATCTCAAGTGATGACAGGACAGTGTCAACAGCTAGGTAGTCATGGGAGAATGAAAAGACTTAAAGAGACGTAAGATACAGAAATAAAGAGAAAAAGGGGCAATTTAACAGAAGAAGATGAAGAAGAAGAAGAAGAAGTCACGGGTAACTTGATCGGACGAGACGTCGGTAGACATTCTAAACGATATCCTTGCGGCATGTTGTGGTTCCAGGAGCGCGAGACACGAAGTTTTGGTGTGGGAACGAATTAACATTTTGCTGAGTCAAATAAGACCAACGTACAAGGGCTACATCATGGTGCGTTTGAAGCGATTTTACTTATTCGAGAAAGCAGCTGCTGTGACCACGGGAATCAGTCAGACGTTTTTGGTTTAGAGGTCCTTTTCAACTTGATTTTGTTCTTCCTTCATCATTAACTCTCCCTCCCTTTTCACCTTTACCTTTTGTCTTTCTACATTTTTTCACTTTACTCAAGTCTGAAATATCCTAAATAACAATTAGGAATATTTTTCTTCACAACCGAAGCTAATTTTTCTCTCAACTCCCTAAAACTATGCTCAACTAAAACAGATGGTCAAATTTGACTTTTTTTTTCCTTTTAAATCTACAATATATACTTTAAAAAATATTTTTCAAATATATTTCGCAATTTAATTACATTCAAATAAAAAAAAAATATTTTTATTTATTTTTTTAATAAAATTCTGAGATAATATAAACATATCAGTCTGCAAACGTGGGTGTTACAAGTCTGATAAATCCTTTAAGGTTTCAGGTTGAACAATTTTTTATTTCATTCAGTAAGTTTTTAATTAAAAAAATAGTTTATCTATATGGAGAAAATTTTATATTTATTTTTACTAGTCAATTGACAGCAATTAATTTTACTAGCATTAAAAATTACTAGGCTTTTTTTTGAGTAAAAATAACTAAAAAAAACTTGGTAAAAAGTCCTATTTTTGTTAGTGAAAATTACTATACTACACTTTAATTTTTTTTTTGTAATTTTAATTATTAATTTCTTTCATTGATACATATTTTGCTATTTGGCATTGTATGACTCTATTAATAATTGACGACTGTTTAATTAATATAATAAATAAATAAATAAGAATGTTCAAATCAATGTTGAAATTTCCACTAATTTTCTAATCGAATAAAATATACAAAAAAATAATAAAATGAATGTGCAAAGATTATAATGAATAAATGTAGTTAATAATTACATGTCTTCTTGATTAAGAATGTATATAAATATTCTTATTTAATCTTAATCTACGTCTTTCTAACGAATTTAGCTCTCTCTCAGCCATTCCTAAATACTCCGACTTGTTATTTAAAGTTATAACTTATAAGAGCAACCATTAAGTCCGTTAGTTCGCCGATGCGAACGTTCACGAGGGCCAAGGAAATACTCTTCTCTGCATTCCATTTTTCTTCTTCTCTTACTCGCACCAACAAACTCTAATTTATCCTTTTCTTTCTCTCACTTTATGTATACTTACTATGCCTCAAGGGAGAGAAGAAGAACGTGTTCCAGCGCCTGTTCAGACCTGCGAACTCGATCTCTCCTTCCACTTTACTCTCATCAATTTTTTTATTCATTTTTCCTTCTTTTTCTTTTTTTTTTTTTACTTTCACGGATCTGCGTGTATATGAATATAACCACTTACATTTACTTCAGAATTAAATTCACACGATATTATTGAGATTTTCCAATAAAGATCTTCTCTTTCCACTCGAATATTAATTTTTTTAATTAGCCATCATTATTTTTTTTCAGTTTTATCACAATTGAATAAAACTCATAAGTGATTAAATTTCTAATTAACAATTAATTAATTAAAACATAATGATGCAATAAAATATTTATCAATAGCAAAAATTTATTTTATTTTTAATTAATTAATTAATAATTAGAAGACAATTTTTGGAGGTTTTATAAATTTGTTTCAAATAAAATTAATAATCTTATTTTTTTGCTGTTAATATTGTTGATTATTTAAGACTATCATCAGGTGTAAAATAATCAATAAAAAAAAAAAAAAGTGCAAAAAATATTGAAAATAACATCACAATGATTTATAGTATTTTACAGTAATTTTTGTCCAATTCAGTGTCATAATTAATTATACTTTAAGATTAATATTGACACAACTTATGTAGATTGAAAATACTGTTATTCAAAGATTTTAGATTTATTGCCAATGATAATTTATGACTATTTAAAATAAAATTCTCTCTCATTGTCCAAACACTTTTATTCATAATATTTTTTAAAGAATTCGCAAATATTTTATTATCTTTAAAAATAATTTTTATCTCATTTAATTTTCAATATTATTTAAACAAAATATTTAAAATAAAATATTTCTAAGCTTTATTTATTTATTAATAATTTATTTTTAATATTAATTTTAATAAAAATATTGATTTTCAAATTAAAAAATATTTTAATTTTAATTGAAAGAATAAATCAAAGAAGGGTAATTTTATAACAAACCTTATATAAATGACAATAAGTAGAAATTTAAAGCATGAGAGACCCCATTAAGAGTATTTAAACCCATCGTTAACACCTTTTAACTTTAAAGAGACTTTATCTACACTCCGAGAGTATAAAGAGAGAGAGAGAGAGAGAGTTGAAGCACAAGGTCAACGATTCCCTTATGACTCCTGCAGTAGCTAATTCATGTCTCTGTCTCACTCTTCAAAAAGATACACCGCAGCTGAGGTTTTTTTATTGCTTCACTTATACATACAGAAGGTCCGTGTCAAAGTGACCGTTAACTTCTCGTCAAATTTCTCCATTTACAAATTTTATTTCTCTCGTTCATTGACAAAAGCGAGACAATTTTGGCTCGTGAATCGTGACGAATTTTGCAGATTTTAGATATATATATATATATATATACGTTTCAATAATTTCTTAGAACATTCACTAAATCACCAATTATCTCGTGGGTTAATTCAATTAACTCTGGCTCAAGGTCGGATCCTTTTGACACTTTTAACAATTGATGATGCATACAAATTTATTTTCGTAGAAATATTAATAATAGTAATAGAAATATAGGACAGTTTTATGTGCTTAGAAATTTAAATCAATAATAGTTGTGTTCTATTTAGAATTATTATCATACTTTTGATGAATTAAATTGTATCTAATATATTCTATGTATTATTAATGCTTGTTGAAAGGACAAATTAATTTATAAGATTTTATTAGAGCTCAATAAATTATTAGTTTAATAAAAAAGTATAATATTAGTGATATTAAAATTCTACTGTATAATAAAATTTTACAATAAATCCTAATTAAAAAATTATTTTGCAATTTTTAATATAATTACAAATTATAAAGAATACTTTTTTAAGATTAATAGATGCTGTTAACTAATTTTTTATTAAAAAAAAAAAAATTGTTTGTAATCGTTCATTAAATATTTAAAACTTCAAACACGTCATTATTAATAATAATATTATAATTTATTCATTAATTCTTTTTAAATTTTTATTATGAATTTTTTTTATTAAGATTCTTTTCATCTGTGAATTGTTATAAAAATAAATGGATTAGTGAC